AAAGTTTATTTGGCTTAGTTTTCAAACCACTGTTTAATATCGAAGGAAGTCAGGATAGGAACTCAAACAGGGCAAGATCCTAGAGGCAGGAGGTGATGCAGAGACCATGGAGGGGTGCTGCTTACTAGCTTGTTTCACATGGTTTATTCAGCCTGCTGTATAGAACCCAGGAATTATAGAACCCAGGACTACCAGCCTAGGGGTGGCACCAGCCACAGTGGGCAGCCCCCCATTAATCACTAATTAAGAAGATGCCCTAAACCGGGCAGTGGTGGCGCACGCCTTTAATCCCAGCACTCGGGAGGCAGAGGCAGGCAGATCTCTGTGAGTTTGAGGCCAGCCTGGTCTACAAGAGCTAGTTCCAGGACAGGAACCAAAAGCTATGGAGAAACCCTGTCTCGAAAAATCAAAAAAAAAAAAAAAGAAAAAAGAAAGAAGAAGAAGAAGAAGAAGATGCCCTAAAGGCTTGTCTACAGCCTGATCTAATGGAAGCATTTTCTCAGTTGAAGCTCCCTCTTTGATGACTCTAGCTTATGTCAAGTTGACAATAAATTAGCCACCCAACACATGGCACGTGGGGCATTTCTTGGTTCTTGGAGAACTGGCGGTTTGAGCTATGTGCAGAGCTAAAGCAAGCTAGCCATTACGTGCTGGCAAAGATTGTGAGGAAAGGCAAGGCAGTGAAGACCAATGAAAGAAGCTATTCTCCCCTTCCCCCACACTGGGAATGGAACCACTACCTCATACGTGATAGGCGAGTGTTCTACCATGGAGCTAATCCACAGCTCAGGGAAGCCATGGTCTTTTAGTAGCCAGAACGTGGAGGGAATGTTGACTCCTAAGGAATGAAAACCCTATGGGTTTGGTGGGATGCAACTAATAAAGAGAATAAGAAATTAACACCTGTCACCAAGTTCCCAGAGGTAAACATAGCTCATGGGGGCTATGGTGATTGATTCTGTGGGACCCACAATCAGCCCTGAGCATGGCTCTGTTGCTGTTCATAGCACTACAGAGGGATGAGACTCGCAGAGCCAAGGCTTCTGAAGACAGGCTGAAGCAGAGGTTGCAAGAGCTGGAAGCTGAACTGGAAAGGGCCCAAAGCGAAGGGAAGGCTGTATATGCAGGTATGATTTGACTGGCCAGGGGGCAGGAAACAGGGGCATCGAAGAGGACAACCAAGAAAGTCGGGGAATTTAAGGAAGGGAAATGAAGAGGAATCCTAACTGCCATACCTAGTAGCTCCAGTCCCTGTGTAGGCAGGGTCCTAAGAACCAAAGACGTGTCCCTGGCAGAACATGGATCACCACACCCTAGAATGATGCCGCACACTTGATAAATGTGTGAAACAGAATGTAGCCCATAGCTCTTTATCTTTACCTTTGGGAGTGACCGGGAAGAAGAGCCAGGGTCCCTCTTACACTGGTGTGGGGTGAGAGCTGGTTTCAAGGTCTCCCAAGTTTCTCAGTTCTGTTCCTTGACAGAGACTTTTCTCCATACGCAACCTCATTTCCTTCTTCACACCTCCATCCCTGTGGCTCCTCTTCAGAGATGAACCGCCAACGTCGGGCCCTGCAAGAGGAGTTGAGAACCCGAAGCAAGCATCTGGAAGAGGAAGTGAGAAGTCGGCAGAAACAGCTAGGTAGTCCACATCGCTCACCCTTTCTTTCCTAGGCTCCCTAACAAGACCTGGCATGGGAGAGTGGACTTAGAAAGTCCTTCTCCGGAGGTCTACAGTCTGCTGGTTGAATTTTAACTAGGGTCACCTTCACCCCAACTTTCCTCTGAACAGAGTTCGGTGACATAGACCTCTATGTTAGGGGCTGGATTTGGCCTCTAGGAGAGTTGACTCAGCTGTTAAGAGCACTCTTACAGAGAACCTGAACCAGCACCCTCACAGGGGCTCACAACCATCTGTAATCCCAACCCCAGGGCATCTAATGTCCTCTTCTTTCTTTCACAGGCACCCTCATGGTGTACGTGTATACACGCAGGCAAAGCACTCACACACATTAAATAACTCTAAAAAAAGAGAAAAACTTAAAAAACTCTCTAAGATAGAGGTAAAGGAAAAGTAGGACTCTCACCCCATCTCCCCTTTGTCTAATCTCTCCAGGTCCAGCAGCTACCCCCCTTCACTGCCTTTTCTGTCCTAAGCAAAATGCATTTAATAGTTTAGCTGGCTTTTACAACCAAACTACAGAAAACAATAGCTTTAATTTAATTCAGTGTCTTCAAAGCTGAACACCTTATAAAAGGCCTTAAATTACTACTTGTTAAATCAGTGAATTTACCAATCAGATGAGAAAACAGAGGTCAGAAGAGGGCATCAGATCCCCTGGAACTGGAGTTAAAGATGATTCTGAGCCACCATGTGGGTGCTGGAAATGGAAACCTCTGCTAGAGCAGCAGCCAGTGCTCTTAACTGTTGAGCCATTGTTCCAGTCCCCTCCTGAGGTGGCCTTGAACTCACAGTGATCTTCCAGCCTCTGTCTCAGGAGAGGAAGGACTGCAGGTGCGAGTTATAACACCTGAAATATCTCAGTGCCACTGTAAATGTTCAAGAGCTGCTTAGACAGGCCACAAATTCCAACTCCAGCCTTTTTTTCAAATTAAAATTCAACATTTATTGAACACCTCCTATATTAGGTGTTTTGTCATGCATTTTCACATTTAAGGGTTCACAGCAAACAGGAGGAGCAAATATCATTTTCCCTCCAAAGATAAAGAAGGGGCTAGAGAGAGAGCTCAATGGTCATGAACACTGGCTGCTCTTCCTGAGGGCCTGACTTTGATTCCCAGAACCCACGTGGTGACTCACAACCATTATACTTCCAGTTTCAGAGGATCCAATCCCATACCCTCTTCTGTCCTCCACAGGCACATGCATACATATACACATGGGGTGGGGGCAAAATAATATTATTTCTAAAACCAAAATATAAAATTAAAAATAAATAAAAATATTTATAAAGATAATGAAACTGAACCATGTTAGTTGGTACAAGTCTATAATTCCAACCCTGGGAAACAGAGGGAAGAAGATCTGGAGTTCAAGGTTGTCCTTGACTACACGGAGAGTTTAAGGCCAGCCTGGGCTACATAAGAGTCTGTCTTAAACAAAACAAAGTCAAACATTTAAGACATGGAGACCCAGAGATACTTGTCCCATGCTGTATATGTGACAACCACCAGACTTTGGACCCATCTCCTATCTCAAAACCTCTACTCATTCTGCCCTCCCTCAGTGAGTCCTTACAGTGACCTCAGGAAGGTTGATGATCCCGGAAGTCTGTAATGACCTTTGTCGAGGTACCCTTTTAGGTACCTTTGGATCTTGGTATAGTGTCACCATCCTGTCTTTTTTATCTTTCTGTCCTGCTCCATAGAAACATGCCAAAGGGAGGCTAAGACAGCAAGGGAAGAGGCTGAGAAAGCCCTCAGAGAACAAGGTGAAACCCTGGCTCAGCTTCGTGCCCACGTGGCAAACATGGAGGCCAAGTATGAGGAAATTTTGCATGTAAGTACCACTCCCTGGAGGCCATCTTCTCAGTATCCCAAAACCCTCCAATCCTATGGCCCCGACTAGTGTGATGACCCACAACCTAAAGGAGCCATGCTCTATTCTAAGGGCAATCAGAAGATACAACCATTGACAGAGCCAGTGATTTATAATTCCAGTACTTGGGTGGCTAAGACAGAAAGATTTTGAGTTCCAGGTCAACATTAGCTACAACGTGCTATGTTGCTGATACATAGTGAGACCTAGACTCAAAATAATCAGGAACTGCAGGTATAGGTCACTGGTGTGCACAGCCGTGGGTTCAATAGCTGCACAGAGGTGGGAGGAGGGAAATAGGAAGAGGAGTGGGGACAAAGAGCAGGGAAGGAAAGGAGTGGCACTGTGTAGGAGACTGAGGCAGGAGGATCATAGGTTCAAGGCCAACCTAGGTACTGAGTTCAAAGTCAGCCTAGGCAGTGTAGTAAGACTCTATCTCAAAATAAAAAGTGAAAAGAGGGACTGATGGACAGCTTAGTGGACAGGGTACTTGCCTAGGATTGAGCCTTAGGTTCAATCCTGGGTGTTGAAAAGAGAGAGAGTGGGAGAGAGAGAACAATGGGAAGCTAAGCATGATCGTTCATGCTTGCAGTCCAGTGCTTGGGAACCTGAGGCAGGATAATTCTGAGTTCAAAGTCATCCTGGTCTACAAAGCAAGGGTATCTTACAGAAGGAAGAAAGGAAGGAAGGGAGGAAGGGAGGAAGGGAAAGGAAGCCATTGGCAAAGAACTATTACCAAGCTAGGCAACTTTCACCCTTCCCTCACTTCCTGGGAATGAAAGCTGGGCGTTCACAGGGCAGCCTGGACTGTCTCTTGGCCAAGCTGAGAGCTGTCAAGCCTCAGTGGGATGCAGCTGCGCTGAGACTCCACACCAAGCACAAGGAGCAGCTACGTCAGTTTGGTCTCAACCCCCTGGATCTTTGAGGCCATTGGCCTCTAATCTCTGAGGCCTAGAAATAAAGCGACTTGATGTAGAATTCAACAGAACTGGATTGTGGCCTATACCATTGAGGAATGACTCTCGTGGGGACACCTGTGTTCTGGGTTAACCCATTGCCCCACTGCCCTAAACACTAAGTGATAAAAAATGAACAATCCTCTAGGAGGCTGAAGAGATGGCTCAGTAGTTAAGAGCACTCACTGCTCTTCTGAAGGTCCTGAGTTCAATTCCCAGCACCCACATAACAGCTCACAACTGTCTTATGCCCTCTTCTGGTATGCAGATGTACGTGCAGACAAAGTATCCATATACATAAAATACATAAATAAATCTTTTATTTTATTTTTTTTTAAAAAAAGGCTGTGTGGTGGTGCATACCTTTAATCCCTACTTGGGAGAAAGAAGCAGGTGGGTCTCTGTGAGTTTGAGGCCAGCCTGGTCTACAGAGTGAGTTCCAGGATAGCCAGGACTGTTTCACAGAGAAAGCTTGTCTCAAAAAAAAAAAAAAAAGGAAAGAAAGAAAGAACAAAAGAAAAAAGAAAGAAAAAGAAATGGACAGAGTTCTAAAGCCTCTCCTATAGAAACTAACTAGATCCCATTCCCTTAGGCTTGGAACACTTTTGGTTCCTTTAAACTACCTTGGTTTATCCTCACCAACAAAAACACAAAGCCAGATTTATATGGAAAGACTGCATAAGTGTGCATATATATATATTTACTTATTTATTTTGACAGTGGCATACTAAGGTGCTCATCTGGAGGCTCGAGGACAACTTCCTGGAAATGGTTCTCTCCTTCTACCATGGGGTTCTGGGGATCGAACTCAGGTTGTCAGGCTTGGCATCAAGCCCCTTTACCAACTGAGCCATCTCACCAGCCCACTGGGAAAGACAGTAACAGGACATTCCAGTGGCCAGGAACCAACTCCCAAGTTTCTAAGGTGTCCACAGAAGGAAAATATGGCTGATCTCCAAATCCTCGTGCCGTATAACCCTAGAATCATAGCTAGCCTGAGTTCTCGGTGGCTTTGATGCTAAAAGGCTCCACAGCATCACTTTCTTGAGCAGAAATTCATATTTGCAGCACAGGTCCTCAAAACTTCTCCATAACATCCTGTGGAGACTTGGGCTCCCTCATGAGCCTGCCTGAGGTCTCTGCCTACACCCCTCGCTGGAGGTAGGCTCACGAGAATGGAAGAAGACCCTGGAAGTCCTGCGATCCGTGGTATCTGAATCCTCCAGCTCCTGTTTGGAGAGACCATTCCTGGCTTCTGCCACCTCAGGGTGCAGAGCAAGGGTAGGAAAGCCACTAGGCAAATCTGTGCCAAGCAGGGGTATCCTATAGCAGCTCTGAAGGCAGGGTCCAGTCCTACACAAAAAGGAAGGACAGAGTCAGTCTGGGACCGGAAGAGTTTATTTTCCTACCCCAAAATGCTCGGACGGCTCAGGAATGGGACTTGCTTCAGGATCCTTGTGTCCCACCTCCTATGACCTACAGTTCCCTCTTGCATACCCCTCTCAGCTCTACCCAGCAACCCTCCTCTCTGCCCTTCTCATAGTTCCATCTGTCTCTTTGATTTCACCTTTCCGGACTCTGAGGAGATCCAGGCTTCCAAGTCCTGCGGATCCCTAGCTGCCAGCTTCAAGCAGAGGGGTGGCTCAGCCTCAGTCAGTTGCTGAAGCCTATTCGGGTCGTTGTCTGAACCCACAGGATATCCATTCACCTCCAAAACTGCATCTCCCATTTGCAGCCCTGCTTGGGCAGCTGAGCCTCCTGGGGTCACCTGGCAGTGTACGGGGGAACACACGGAAGCATTTGTCATGTGTTCTAAGGCTGGGCATGCAGGCAGGCAGAGGAAGGTAGGTGATAGACGATGGAAAGATTCCAAGGCGCATGGGACATCAGTCACCTGGGAAATGAAGAGACAAGGCCTACTGGCCACACAGCAGAGCTTAAATCCATAGCCACCTCCGGGCCCAGGGTACAAGAAGCATTGGCGGGAACCAACAGGGCTAGAAGGCTCAACTGTGTCTTCAGCTGCGAAGTCCTTGGTTTCTGCCAGAGGGGAGGCAGCATTCTCTGTGTTCTCCAAGAAGAGGAGGGGAGACAGCCGTACCTGGGGTGGGGGGCAGACAGAGCAAACCTGTGGCACTTGAGCCTTGCTCCATTCCCACCTGCCCCCTAACCCTGTCACTTGCGCACCATGTTGAAGAAGCGGTCAGCCTCAGGATCGACGACAATGAGGGAGATGCGAGAGCCCTGCGCTCGGATCCTGGACACTGTCTCCTCATGGCACAGCCCATCCACGCTTTCCCCAGCCACAGCCACCAGGCGGTCCCCAGCCTTCATGCCAGCCTTGTCAGCTGGCAGTCCTGGGTCCACCTCCCATAAGAACTGCCCTAGGACATAGACATATGCTAGACATATGTGACATGGACATATCCCTGCTCCTCCCTGACTCACCCCCATGCTCTCCCAGGGACTAACCCCATAGTACATGAGAGGATGCCCAAGGGCTGTGGCTCAGACTGGGGCACCTCTCTTGATCACTGAGAAGTGTGCAATTGGGTATGTATGATCATCCTAAGGCCCAGTTCCTACCCACCCCTGGGGCTGCCACTCACCGAGGCAACCGTCCAGGCCCTTCTCCTCACGCAGCAGAAAGCCAAAGCCTTGAGGCCCTTTCTCTATGTTTAGACACCGGGGCTTGGCGGGCAGTGCCCAGCCCTCTGCCAGGGGTGCAGCGAGAGGCATTCCCAGTTGACGACACCGTTCCTCAACCTCCGGCGCTGCCACCAGCAGAGTCACCTGATCGCCACTCTGCCAAAGCTGTGGGGACCCAGCAAGAGTTTAAGCACTGGCCATCAGCATGGGGATGGAGAGGCAGATCCCCTCAGCACCCCCTCCCACACCCAAGGATGAGGACGGGCCTCTCACAAACTATAGAGAATAAAAGAGGGGTGACAGACCGACCCTCAGGTCAGGAGGTGGGGTTCAGATAGAAAGCCATTGCAGGAAGCCCTACCTTCCTACTGAGCTGGCTGGAAGTGAACTTCTCCACACTGACCCCATTCACTTCCAGCAGCCGGGCCCCAGGGGGCACCCCTGCCCTCTCAGCGGCTCCTCCAGAACTGAGAACCAGCCAGAAAGAACCCCGACATCCTAAAGGCGGACAAAGGAACTTCCAGCCTGCTGTATGCAGAGGCTGGGTTTCCCATCCCTGACTGTCCCATCTCGGGCTTTAAGCTCACCATGGGTGATGCTGAAGCCAAAGCCACCTTCATCTTTTACTACATGGCACAACCGGGGCCTGACTGCCGATCCTAGGGTAGGACAAAGGAAGGCATCGCTCCCCTGCTGAGCGCGCACCACGTCATGCACGTGCTGTGCCAAGACTGTCAGCAATACCCGGGGACCGCTAGCCCGGATGTGGCGCACTACCTATGAAAGGACACGGGAGTGAGAGAGGTTCGCCCCCTGGTGAAATCCCAGGACCCATTAGAACTTGTATTTTCACTGTAGAAACCAGCTCTGTAGGTGCCTTTATCAAATCTTTCTAGTTGGGCACCTCTAAGTCATGGGGTCTAGGAGTGAGGCTTGGCCCATGCATTAGAGTGCCCAGGCAAATGTCAGACTCCTCTTCCTCTCAGAAGTGCTATGGAATGTTCCTTCGTTCCACAAGGAGTCCCGGGCCAGCCTCACCATGGCGTAGTCCTCATGGTCCACAATGTTATTGTTCACCGCTAGGATCCGGTCTCCTTCCCGGAGACCGTGGCGCTGGGCAGAGGAGCCTGGATCCACCCTGTACACCACATGGTCAGTCTTGCCCAGTTGGTACAGCAGATGGAACCCAAAGTTCTTCTGCTCCTCTCTGCTCAGCAGACAGAAGCGAGGCCGTTGCAGGTTCCAGGGATCTGGAGGAGGAGGTGGGTAGGTAGCCAGAAAGGAGGGGGGCACAGTTCAAGGACAGGACCATCAAATGACTGGTAGCCTCTGCCTCCTGTCAGGACTGGGCAGCTTCCAGCCAGGGAAAGCCTGGACTTTATAGCTGAATGGACGCTGCATGGGCCAGGTGACTAAAGCCAAGGGAGAGCTGCCCCCTCTACCTCCGCTCAGTTGCTGATATCAGAGGGAGTCAGCTAGCGGTTACCAAGGAGACAGGAGGCTGTGTGGCACTGTAATGTCTCTAGGGAAAGGTAATCGTTGCCAGGGGTGAGGAGGTTACCAGACTGAGCCTGGTCTTCAGCCAGGGAGAGGACAGGATTGTCAATGCCCAGCCTTGGATTAAATTTAAACTTCCTGTAAGGAGGCAGAAGAGGCACGTAAGAGAAGTGTGTAGCTGGACTGGGGTCCCAGGTCCTACTGGAGGTGCTGATGGACAATTGAGACACTCCCCCTCCAATTCTTCTTCAACCCTCACACTACTTACAGAGTTAACATGGCCGTGTCTCGAAGATCTGCTGGACAAAGAGGAGTAAGAGTAGAGACACATTCCTCCCCAGGATGGGACTTCCATGACAAGAACCTGAAAGGGCTTAGGAGAACCCCCAAACCCTCTCATTCTGCTCCGCTATCTTCACACACAGGGCTGTTGATTCTCCTTTATTTCTCTTCCCAGTTCTTTGGCACATAAATCTAAGCCTATCAGCACAGGGTGTGGACCAGGAAGGTAGGCACACACGCTCACTTCATTCCTCTTTCGTTCTGTCTGTTTGCCTCAGAGCTACAAACCCCAATACCAAGTGTGTCCTAGACCCAAAGATTCCAAATCTGTGCCCTCTGCCGCTGCCCCAGAGTCCCCTTTCAAGGGTATCTCCCCTCCTACCTGCAGTTGCCTCCATAGTTGGATCAGTGACCCAGGACTTAAGAGTAGGGACAAGGTTCATTATAACCAGCTGACCCTCCCACCTGCCCCCTCCTGAGTCACGCCTCCTTGAAGACACTGCAAGGAAGCAATGGGGTAATGGTTAACAGCAAAGGGACTTATTCTCTGGAAAGTGTGTGTCTACGTTTCTTCTGCCCTCAGTCCTGGGCCCTACCTTTCTCGACCGAGCCTCTAACTGACCCAGCTGTTCTTATGCCCAGAAAAATAGTAGCTCACTGGTCATTGAAATTCCAAGCTGGGGGCAGTAAAAACAAAAAGGGCGATAGGAATGCTAAGGCCCAGGGTCTTACACGCAGCCCCTCCAGCAACAAAATTATCTAAAGGTATTGGTGCCTCTCCCTTTGGCTATCAGGCTATTCAAACAGTGGATCCCAAAGAACTGGAATTTCTCCAGGATTCTGAAGCTGAGGAAAGAGAAAAAGACAAAGCCCTCCCTGATGCCAGCCAGAACTTATCACACAGTTCTGACAATTTGTCAAACCACCCCGCAGGACAAACTGGAGTAGAGTTGTTTATTGTGGTTGGAGATCACAGCCTGACATGACTGTTTTGTACACAAACCTCTTATTCTCACTGTATTTGAACCTAAATTCCAGGTCAGGATCCTGAAAGGTGAGTTAAGGGGTGGAGGAGGTGTCCCTTGGACCTCTTTATTTGTTCCTCTTCCTGACGTGGCCACCTGAGAGAAATCTCCTTTCTCCACTTTTCTAAGATTCTTTGTTTGTTTCGTTCTTTTGAGACAGGGTTTCTCTGTGTAATAGCTGTGACTGTGCTGGAACTAGCTCTGAGGACCTGGCTAGCCTTGAACTCACAGATATCCACCTGCCTCTGCCTCCTGAGTGCTGGGTTTAAAGGTGTGCACCACCACTGCCTGGCCACTTTTCTAAATTAAATATATGTATTTATAGCCAGGAGGTAGTGGCTCATGCCTTTAATCCCAGCACTGGGGAGACAGAGGCAGATAAATCTCTAATTGAGATCAGTCTGGTCTATGGAGTTGAATTCCAAGCCAGCCAGGGATACACAAAGAAACCCTGTCTCAAAAAAAAAAATTATTTGTGTGTGTGTGTGTGTGTGTGTGTGTGTGTGTGTGTGTGGTGTGAGAGGGAGAGAGAAAGTGAGAGGGTCACCCAGAGGCCAGGAGAGGGTGTTGGATTCTCTGCAGCTGGAGTTACAAGCGGTTGTGAGCTCCCCCACCATGTGGTGGCTGGGAATGCAACTCCTGCCCTCTCGAGGGGCAGCAAGAGTTCTCAACCTGCTGAACCTTCTCTCCGGCCTTTCTCTATTTTCTCAGTATTCTCTTTTTAAATAGTTTATTGAAGATTAGTGGCAGAGCTCAGCTTGTTAGGGCTGCCAGAGCCCAGGCATCAGTACTTAAACTCCATCAATACTACTGCCTCTGAGTCTAGAGGCCAGGAACTTAATAGAAGGTAAACCAGACTAACCTTTTCTTGGCAAGGAACAGGGGATCACAGGGAGTGGAAGACACACAGTTTTTTAATAGCAGCAAGGTGAGCACACTTATCCCTAGTGGACTTGGAGCCGTCGATACCTATGTTGTTCAGGGGACACAAGGCTGGAAAAAGCACCAGTGTGAGGGCATTTTGTGTCCAGAAGTGAGCATAAGGCAGGAATGGGAAGTCTTCTAGTACAGCTGGGATCCCCCAGCATAGCAAACATGAGAGGTGTGCCTCTTGGTAACACAATCAGAGGAAGGAGAGACAAGATCGATGGTGGGGACACAGGGCAATTTGGCCACTCGTGTGTCATATTCTTCTTAGTCCTTCTAGAAAAAAGAAGCAGTGACGCTGGTCGGTGGTGGCGCACACCTTTAATCCCAGCGCTTGGGAGGCAGAGGCAGGAGGATCTAAGTGAGTTCGAGGCCAGCCTGGTCTACCAAGCAGTTCTGGATAGCCAGGACTTTACACAGAGAAACTCTGTTAAAAAAAAAAAAAGTGACATGCTCGATATCCAAGACCAAGCATCAGTTCACCACATTTGACCTTTGACCATGGGAAGTCTAGCTTGGGGTCCTGGCTGGATCTGTGAGTTGGGGCAGCACAGTTGTATCTATTGCTTTAACTGCAGATCTTTCTGGAAGGAGTTGTGCATGCCAGGAAGCCACAGAGGGAAGGGTTTGGGTCCAGTGGTCCCACAGCTAGGTCACAGCTGTCACTGTTTCAGCATCCAGAGTCTCCCAGCTGCTCCAGAAGGGTCTTGACCTCGCCTTCCACTCGAAGCAGCTGAGCCTTGCGCCAAGGATTAAGGGTGGCGCCCCGACTGTCTTCCAGATCCCGAAGCAATAGCTTGAGATGGCTCTGGACTCGGGCCGGGTCCCAGCTGTTGAGGTTGCGCTGAACTTCACTAAGGATCACTGACCAGTACTCAGACACCGCCGCTCCTTCTGTCAGCGAGGCCACAACCCGGGCACCACCTTCGCCCGAGCCCCCCAAGTCCCGCAGGACCTGGCGACCCTCTGAACTCAGCTCATTGAAGTAGAGGCTGGTGGGAAAGAGTTGGAAGGATGTCATTCATCGGGGTTTTGAGAAGGCCCAAGGTGGATAGAGACAGAACCAGGAAGCCTTATAATTCCCTTCAGGCTGGCAAGTGGGAGGGGCCAAGCATCTGCAACAAGAGCTGAGGACTTAGTTTAGGTGGTAGAGTGCTTAGTGTGCACAAATCCCTAGGTTCACTCCCTAGCATCACAAAAAGAATCTTCAGTAAGCCAGAGACAGAGGTAGAAACCGATGGAAACATTAAGTGTGACCAGCGACAGCAGTCCCTGGGAGAAATGGTGGTAGGGAATCAGAGGACTGGCTTGGCACTGGGTAAACCAGGATAAGAAAGGTAACACAGATGGCAGGCTTGGGTTCGGAGCACTCCCTGGGTAGGAAGAACATAGTGAGGAGAAGGGAAAGCGGGGTTGGGGTCTGGGGGCAGGAGACCAGCCAAGACTTACTGCAGCAGCTCCAGAGATGGGTGCTCCCTAGCGGCCTTTGCCAAGGCCAGAGCTGCTGCGTCCCCAGCACCGTTGTAGGCCACGTTCAGTTCCTGCAGTTGCCTGTTGCGGTCCAGTTGGGCAGCCAGCAGCTCCAGCCCCTCATCTCTGAGGTCCGTGTGTAGCAGGGACAGGTGTGTCAGCGAGGTGTTTCCCGCTAGCCCCTCCATCAGTAAGGCAACCCCTGCTGCTGTCAGTGGGTTGTTGGACAGCCTACGGCCACAAGCAAGGCAAGGGTGGGGGTAAAGCATTGTAGATACTCAAGGTGGGTGTTAGGACTTTGGCCAAAGGGGGGCACATGTGGGTTGGAGACGCAGAAATGGGGCCCTGAAGAAGGGGCGGTGAAATGAGGAATGGCCCCTACCCAGGAGGGGGAGTGAGGGGAAGCAGGCTTCCCTTCCCCCTCCTTTCTATTTCTCTTGCTTCCTGACTTCCTCCCCTCTTCTTTCCTTATTAGTGCCCTTCTTACACCTTCCTTTACTGCCTCCCCAGCCTTTGGTCTTCCATGTATCTAATTCCATCATCTTTCTGTCCCCCCCCCCCATTAAAAACCACATTTAATGGTGCATGTTTGCCTGTGTGAGGGTGAAGTGAGGGAGGAGGCTATGGAGGCCAGAGAACAGCTTGCAAGAACTGGTTCTTTCCTTCCAAGCAACTTGTGGGTCCTGGGAATTAAACTCAGTTTGTCAGGCTTGGCAGCAGCCACTTCTACCCTCTGAGCCAGCTCACCAGGGGTCCCCTTCAGCCAGCCTTTCTTCTTCCTTGCCCACCTCTCCTGATTCTAATCAGGAACCAGGACCCCCAGGCATCTGGGCTCCTAGGAAATCAGCCAACAACTTGGAAGCAACTAGAGAGTATCCAGCGGGATGGTGAGTCTGCAGGGAACAGTGACTCTGTTGCCAGGCAACTGGCCCAGGAATTACTGCAGCTTTCCTGTCCCCGAGGCTAATATTAGCCAGGAGAAAGGCTTTCTCAACACCCACTCCTGGTGTCTTCCTTGCTCCTTTCTTTATATTACTCTTTCTTTTTGAGGGACAGAGTCCTGACTGTCCTGTAGACCCTGCAAGAACTTGTTCTGTTGAACAGGCTGGCTTTGAACTCAGAGATCTGCCTGTCTCTGCCTCCCGAGAGCTGGGGTTAAAGGCATGTGCTACCACCTTGCTCCTTTTTGTTGCTTGTAATGGACCTGGGCAGGAAGCTAACCAGGGCCCAGACAACCTCTTTTCTAGAGCCAGGGCAGGGTGCTCACCATGTCCGAGGCCTCCCACCAGGCCCCCATTAGGACACTCACCGCAGAGTGGTGATCTGGCATTGGCTGTGAAGCAGCAGGTCTCGGAGGTCCCTGCAGGCCTCGGGGCCCAGGCCATTGAGCTGCAACCTGGAAGGGAAGGTGGCCAGAGGGGAGGCGAGAGACAGGAAAAGCCGTTCAGCACAGAGTCCTCCTATGGACCATGCCTCTCCCTCACCAGCCTGCTTCCTGCCATCAACACCTTTCTTCCCTCACGCTGCTCCTGTCGCTCTGCCCACACCTTCTCCATCCCACTCTGCTGTAGTCAGCTCTGTCGAGGGCCATGAGTGGAGGTTTATGGTAGTACTGCAGGAAGGTAGGGCCTTGAGAGACAGAGCCTGGTTTGAGGATCAAGTAGTTGATCTGCTTGTGGAGCAGATTGGCTGAACTTGGAGGGCACTGGTTCCCACCCAGGGTGGGTGGTTGTCCAGCAAGCCTCCTTCGTGTGCCTGGCCTTCTCCACACACAGCTGTTTCCTTCTCTGTTCTTCTGCCATGTTGAAACGCAGCCTCGGGGGTCTTCATGAGAAGATGAACCTTTCAGCCTCCAAAACTATAAACTCCTCTCTCCTCCTTGAGACAAAGTCTTTTGTTAAGACTTATGTATTTATTTTATGTATGCCTGAGTGTTCTATCTGCATGTACACCTCTTCTCCAGACGAGGGTATCAG